TCCATGAGACAGAGGGAAGAGAGGTAGAGGAGACTGGGGTGGAGCATCAGAATTCCCCACAGTGAGAGCTGCGGAGCCCCCACCGCCATCCCTCCCCCTCCAGAGATCTCCTCCACCTCCTCTTGTATCCTCTGGCTGGAGAGTTGCGGTTGCATTCAACTGTAAATTTTGAAATATTCCAGCTACAGAGCACCACAGAGCCTGTACACATGTACACATCTGACACATTTGCTTTCTGAAATGTTTCCAAGTGTGATTCACTTGGAAACATTTCAAAAGTTACTTCATTTGTACCCTATGGCAAATCTAAGTAGCTAATTAAGTGACAGACATTTTGTAGCCCTAGAGCTTGGACGTATGGAACCAATGAGAGTTTTGGCATAATGATAAAATGTTTCAGGAGTTACACTTACATTTAAGTTGCTTAGTCCTTTCCATTCACTTATTCAGTTGTATTGGGTGTACAAGCAAAGGAATTAAAACATGTCCACTCCTACACCGTTACTGTCCATGCACATGTTTTCATCTTGCAGTAAATGAAAGCTAAGCCACAGCAACCTGCTTCTTAGTGAAACATGGGAAATCTACTATGGATTAACCACAGTCTAAGTGGCATAGGGGCAATTACTGTGTAACAGCAAGGCATTATAAATTCTCCCTTTGGTTTATCACATGGTGATTAGTTTGTTTGCCTGTGCCCACAGACGTTAGACTAAAGAAGCTGTTATCATCATCCAAACACAGGCCAAAGGATCTTACCAAGTGATGCCTGAATCAAGCCTATACCTGCTTGCTGAGATGCACTTTATCTTTCAAAAAGACATCCAGTTTTGATTTCAAGTGATGGAGAAATGATCATACCCTTAGGTAGAACATACTTCTTCTGACTTATATTTGAGAAGCTCTTATGCTTCTCCTGTCTGCAGTTGACCATTGAGATCTGCCAAGAGATAAACCCTTCGGTAACAGAAGTGCCTTTTCTTTGTCCCATGAAATCCCATTCAGATTTAGGTGAGAGATTAAGTGTTAATTGCCATTCTTGGCAAGTTACTTAAATCAGTAAACATGGTGAGGCTTGGTTCACGCTGATGCCCATGGAGAGTAATTACAGATGAGTCAGGTGTAAGTAAAGGAACAGGAACAGAGCTGGGCTTGTCTGCTTTCCTTTATAAAGCTCCAGACTAGAGCATGGCCTCAGTGGCTCATTTATTCCCAACTCTGTGGAGCACCACATCAGACAGGAGATTTCTACACCTCCCAAGAGAATGTATAAGATAAAGGGAGAGTCCAGGACAGACCTTCAACAAAGACCCCTTACACTCACTAGTGGCACCAGCTAGTACCCATCTTTCTCCTGTGGGGGGTAACACGTAGGGTAGGAGCTCCCCTAACTCCATAAGCAATGGAGGGAGAGCTAGGGCAAGCTGGGTGTCCCTGAAGACCAGACCAAACTTCATGCCCACCAACCTGATGGAACCTGAAACCTAATCCCTAACCTATTCTGGAAAAAGCAACCTTGTATTATTGCCACTTAGTTATATTAAGCTGGTAGCTCTTGCAGTGACAAGCTGTACCACAGTGATGAAGTTTTGGGATTCAAATCCTACTGGAAAAAATTGTTACGTTTACGTATGACAAAAATTATTTTTACTGGTTTTTTTGTTTTTTGTGTTTCTTAAGTAGATAATCACTCAAAACTTACATTAAAACTTGAAGTTATTTAAGTTTCAAGCACTTGGAAATTAGAATATGATGAATGGACAGCTGTCTATTACTTTCCCTCCCCTGAGTATATGGATTATGCATTTCATGATCACATACTATTTTTTTTTCCATAGAACCCCTGCCTTCTTCATTGCACAGTATGGAAACACAGGGACAGAACTGAAGTTGTAGAGAATCAAAACTCTGGCATTTTCTACCTTTTGAATGCTTGATGCAGACACCTAAACAATGATCTTGTAATGTAGTTTACTTTGTGGAACAATGTATAGCATCATTAAAAATAAAAAAGCACTTCTAGTGATTTTAAGGGGAAGAAGAGAAACTCCAGCAAAAAATGGTAAATGAAACTAAAAAATTTGAGCAGGGTATTGGTTTTCAACTGCAACAGGATTACAGATACGGATACTGGAACTAGCTCCCCCAAGTCTAACTTTGATTTTGGGTTGAACACAAATCCTGTAACTGAAAACCTCTAAACTCTGAAAGATTATAAACCAAATTAATATTAATATTTAGGTTCATAAACCAAATTAAAAATTTAGTAGCTCAAACACATCACCTACAGGAGCACCATAGGTGGACATAATATTTTACAAACCACAACGTATTTCATATGCCAAAGAGCTCATTTCCATCTAAAACATCTGTAGAGTTATTTATGATCTACATGAGTAGATTTGTTTTAAAAACTCAGCAAATGCTAATGTTAATATAAAAAAGACAAATTAGCTCCTGTACAAAAATATACTGCAGGTGGCACTGTTGTCTTACATTAAGAAGTGCCATCAGGAAACAAGAAGGTTTGTTACAGGAATTTTCCATCTGGATCAATGCAACTCTTAAAATTCCAATCATGAGATGGTATCCTTTCAATTATGTACCCATATTGCTATATGTATGAATTGTGTCTAAAAATCAATCCTGGCTTTAAATGTGTATTGTGGTTTTCTAATTTTCTGGGGGAAAAAAAACTTAATTTGTTGTACCCCAAGGGAGCCCAAGATGGTGAAGCCCTGTGCCCAAACTGCTTTAATAATTATTTCACAATCAGAAAAATCTGTAATCATGTTTGCTGCCAAGTATTTCTAATGCAGTATTAACATAGCTTGTGCTATCTATTCTAAACTGTCCAGATCAAGTACTGCTATTAGTATTACCTTTGGTACAAGTAACAAATATTACCATTAACCTAATTTGTAGTACTTTATTATGTACCTTACTTTTAAGACAGACTAGGGGGCCTTTAAATTAGGCATTTTTTTTGTTTCAGTACAATGCAGTACTTTTGGATCCCTGCATAAACAGAATTTCAAGTGCAAACAGAATCCGATTAGTTTGGAAGACAGCTACTGTCAGGGACTAGAGAAATCTCTGTTAACCATTAAGCAAGGTCACATTATTCACCCATTTAAAATGTTCATACTAGGCCAAGTCAGGCAGCTATTACTCTCTTGTGTAGACTCAGTGACATCAGGCCAAATAATTCCTAATAATTTCTCTTAAAGATTCTGGACTGCCATGTGTCCTATCAAGGGTACTCTGGGGTGTTATGCAATCTTAGCACTGCTAAGTGTGCATACACAATTCCTGTTTGAGATTTCAAACAGGAATCCATAGTGCTAGAAATATTCTGACCTGTTGTTGTTTTTCTGAGTTTTTTGCAACAGGAGAATCACTTGATTATTTTTTTGTAGCCAAAATTGAGTGAAAACTAAGAACTGGCATTTTCCAAGTCTAACAAGGGATGCCTTGAGCTTGAATATGTTGAGAAGCACTACTCTGTGAGCTTGTTCTCAACCTTTTTAGAGTCAAGCAACCTCTTGGAAAAGGCCAGCTCTCAATTTTCACTCATTCTTTGGCTATGGAAAAACAACAGGGAAATTCTTCTGTTGCAAAGAATTAAGAAAGATCACACCAGCATAGAATGGTTTTAACACTGTGAATTCCTATTTGAAATATCTAGATTTATCTTGTCAATCATTTTTACACAAATAACAGTGCTAATGTTGCATGGCGCTCTGCATCATCCTTGAAAGGATCTCCTGGCATACCAGGCTGGCACAGCATGCTAGTTTAGAATCACTTCTCTGACTGAAATCAATAGCAGAACTCCTATTAACTTCAAAAGCATAGGATCAAACCCTGTCTGGAAACAGTATTTCAGAATCTAATTCTAGATTTAAAATATCCTTTCAAAGTCAGTTTTTTGAAGGGACGTGTGAAAAGAAAATTAGTCAACTAAGAAAGAGATTAAATTTTTTGTGAAAAATGTAGCAAATTACTGGGAAAGAATAAGGCATGTTTGGAAAATGTCAGTGTATACAAATAAACACGTCCAGCTGACATACATTTAAACTATTCACATAATTACTTAAAAACATTATTAAGCCACCAGCAAATTTAGCTGAGTAATTCTGGACAATTAGGGAGGATTCAAAAAGACAGAAAATCAAATGTGCTACTCAAAAAAGGAATGCTAATTCCAATTTCTGTTCCAAATAAAAATGAAACAATAAGAGAGAAAGGTGTAACTATTTAGGAAATAAGATAGATCCTGAGCAAAAAAGCATGAATTAATATATATATATATCTCAAACTTTGCTAAACGAACTTTATTTTGTGTATATGCACATATAAAACAAATTGCTAGATTATCCAATTGCAGTAGATGCTTAGATTTTAGTAAAGGGTCTCCCAGAACCTCCCTAAACTACATGGATTAAAAACTGACTGGAACTTAATGATTAATGATATATGAAAGTTTACAGAGTTTGGGAGAAGTGCCTTGTGGGGTGCTGTAGGAACTGGTGTTAAGTATGATTTTGTTGACCATCTTTATTAATGATCTGGAGAAAAGGTTTAAGGCACGTTGGTGACATTCATGGAAAAAAGTTGGCTAAACTCCTCCTCTTAGTACAGTCCCATTTGCTTCCCTTATTCCCTTCCCTCAAATTCTTGTCTTGAGTTTCATTATGGACCCCTACCAGTCTAGTTTACAGTGGCAATGGCAGCACTGGGTGAGTTCTTTCTTCCCTGCCCAATCCTACAGGTGTTTCCCACTAGCCCAGGAACAGGTTCAGGGAGAGGGAAATCTGCCTGTTGCTGCTGCTGTCCCTGGCTGAGCCTGGCATCCTGTGCAGCTCAGTTGGAGTAGGGCAGGAGCAGCTCTAGAGCTCCTTTTTCCTTCAGGGCAGTTGGGGACAGAGGCAGTGGCAGGCAAGGGAGGGTGTGAATGGGGTTGGGGGGTCCCAATAGCTCTGGAGAGAGACTCTTACCTGGTTTGGGAACTTTAAAAACGTCCCTGGCTGCTGTCTTGCAGCTTGGTCTGCCTGCCCTGTCGGGCACCTGTCTGCACTCTCCTTTACAAAATCCTGGATCTGCCCATGGACAGCCACAATAGTACCAGGGTAGTACTGGAGGATGAGGATGGAAAACAGACCCTCAGTTTAAGTCAAGAAAGGGAAAACACAGACTTGGGAGATAATACTTTTGCAGAGTAAAGGAGGGAAATGTATGAATAATTCCCTCACTGCACAGAGCTTTATACCAATGATTCCAGATTATATTTTGCCATTTGACCTGCCTTCCTCCACCCCATACCACGTTAGCCTGTCTTTCTGACATCCCCTATTGGCAGGGATCGGCAATGCTCCAGGATCACTGTGCTGAAATTACACAGGTTGGTCTGAGGCAGGCCAGCTCTTCCAAACTGGCCATCATTTCTCCTTGCCACTGGGCTGCTGCTGTTTGGGTGAAGCCCACAACCACCAAAGGCCCGTGACAGTGAAACACTACAGAAGCCCTGTCTTCACAGGCTGGATAGAAAAGCCCTAAGGGCCGTTGGTTACTAACCCATTATCTAAACTATAATATGGCTAAAATGGAACTCAAGATCTTTCTTTTAAAACCTATTTCTTCATTCTTTGTCACTGTTGAGAATGCCACCACCAATCAGATATATACATATATATATTTGCCTTTCCTCTTGATAATAGAGCTCCTTTTCTTTGGCTTTCAGTCTCTTCTTATTGTACACAATCTGGAGCTTCTAAGGTTATTGCTATATAATCTTGCTGTCTGAATCCCTGTGCTAACTCTCCATTCATTACCACATCTAACATTCTAGGCTCTTCATAGATCTATCCTTCCCTACATAGATGTTCTTGTCTGTCATCAAGTCATGCACTTCAGCTCCTCCATGCTGCCAGTGATCGTGGCCTTGGCTACCTGCTTGTCCACTCTGCTCTAATGCCTTTGTAATTTCTTTCCTTTTTTGAAGAAATACCTTCTCTGAGATGATCTAAAGCTGCTATTTTTCTTCTATTGGTTCCCTTCTCAAAGACCATTGCTGATATAGTCAGTGAAGTAATAGCAAAACTTTAATAGTATCTGCATGTATAAAACTTCATGCGTATCTATTATCAAATTGTATTTATTCAACTTTCTCCTCTACTTTCAACACTTTACTCATTCTCTTAGTATCAGGCCATGACCTTGACGCTGGGGCCTCAGCCTGCCTGATGCAGCCACATATCCCGGCCTGCCATCTCCCGAGCAGAGTGTTGAGGCAAACACAGGTGGCCAGAACCCTCCATCTAGGCCTAAACACACACCCCTGCCACCGGGGTGGCCAGCCAGGGTCAGCTGGCCCTTCACCACTTTCAACTGACCCGGAAGAGAGAGCATCCAAGGCAACAAGGCTCAACCTTGTATGTAGGAGGCTGTGCCATTGCCTTGTGTGACTACTGGCTCTCTGACAGATTCTCTGGATACCCGACCAAGCTTGCCCATGGACCCTGAGTTTGGCCTGACCCCTTGGGTCTCTGCCCAATGCTGGTTTGATCTCCTGGATACATGACCTGACTAGCATCCTGACCTCATTCCCTACACTGATTCTGCACACTTCCCTCAGATCCTGGTTGCTTCTTCTAACCCTGGGTGACCCCCAGACATTGCTGCCCACATCCTGGCATGACACTTAGATTGGGAAGCGCAGATTATTTCTGCTTCAATGTTACTACAATAGGGTTCTGATCCTGACTGAAGCCTCTGCTACTCCTTTAACAAAGACTTACAAAATAAGATGCAAATTGTAAAATTGTAAGGTTATGTGTCTGTGGAAACATCCACTAGAGGTAAAAGGTGGAAACCAGTAATGCTGCAAGAGGTCCACAAAACTAAGTGGGCATTTGCAGTGTGGAAGCAAAAAATGAAATTGCAGTCCTGGAATGCATAACAGGCATCACATGAAACACAGATTTAATAATCCTTATTTCAGGCCTGTCATATGACTTCACATGACAAAATGTTATACGGCATATGTTATAAGATGTTGCTAATGCAAAAATATTCAGAGCAGGGAAATAACAATTTTGAGGCTGGCGGGACTGATTTATAAGAATCAGAAAGCCAATTATGTTCCTTTTGTTTGAGCAGAAGATGATTAAGGGAGAATTTTGATACTAGATGATAAATACACGAAGGGTGTTAACACCACAAGGAGAAGAATTTTTTCAGGGTGGTGGAAGCGAATTCAGAGAAAGATCTGTGATGCAGAATAATCTTGCAAGAGTAGGAGAGATCATCATTAAATAGGAAGAGCTCTATTCTCCCCAGCACCACCTGAGGTGACGAGGAACAATGGCAATAAACTGATGGAGAATAGGTTTAGGTTAGAGATCAGGAGGCAATATTTTACACTTAGGGTCTGGAACCAACTTCCTAGGGAAGTGGTCCTCACCCCTACCTTGGGCAAATTCAAAAAGAGGTTAGATGATCACCTGTCTGGGGTCTTGTGAACCCAGCTCATTTCTGCCTGTGGCAGGGGGTCAGGCTAGATGATCTGTTCAGGTCCCTCCTGACCCTAACTATTATGAAACTATGAAACTATAAGCAGGGGGAGGAAATATTTGAGAAACTGGCATAGCTCAAAGTTCTTAAGAGTACTGAAAAACCAAACCAAACCTAAATACTATAAGATTACTTCTAAACTTGTTCTATTGTTTCAAAGACATTTTGGGGGAATTTCTGAAATATTATAATAATATATTTAATGCTTTAAGATAACAGAATTTTCCAGTCACAAAAAGGAAGGATTCAGATGAGAGAAATTTGTGTGAAAAACTTCTCCCCAGTAGATTAAATCCCAGGTGGATTTCAAGGTGTAGAGAAAAATCTACATTTAATTTTCAGTGGCTCTTTAAACTTAATACTTTGGAGCTGCTTCTGAAGTGTCACTATTGCAAGGTGCATTTTACAACACTTGTACTTTATTTACTGATTTTATTAGCACATGACCTGTCCAGTGCTATAAAATGAGATCTCCATAGAATTCACTCTAAGCAAGCAGTTCTTGATTGTTTTAGATCAAGAAGCACCCCTTCGTTCAACTTAAGGCATTCTCTGCGAAATACCAGATCTTAGCTTTCACTCAGTTTTTGACCATGGGAACACCTGTCCCCCTCTCCCCCCCCCTGTTTAAAAACAGCAAAACAAAACCAAACCTAGAGCAATTCTTCAGTTGAGAAGAACTCAAAGACCACAACAGGTCAGAATGCTTTTGACACCATGGATTCCTATTTGAAATCTCTGGGTTTATTTTCTGAATCATTTGTAGGTCTTTGCACATTTAACAATGCTAATATTGTGCAACACGCCACAGCACCTTTAAAAGTATCTTGTGTCATCCCAGGGTGCCCTGACACCATGGTTGAGAATTACTGCTCTAAGCAAACATTTAATCAGTTGAATGATACTTTATATGTATATTGAACCATTTTTCTAAACACCATGTTTAGGTCTAGACTGGTTTGGTGACAGAAAACGACATGACTCACAACACACTGAAACAGATTTGCTCAGTCCAATAATATGAAATGTTAAATATAGGCTCAAGTAAGCTTTTACCTACAGTAAGCCAGGATCACCACAGCTGGCATAGGCAGGTGGGAACTGTGCCTCTCTGCACTATTCTGCACCAGCACGCTGGGAAGGCTCATGTGGAAGATGACAGACTAAGTGTCACTGTCATAAGATTCTGTGAGCTAGCTTACGTCTTGGTTACACCTCTTATTTATAAACAATATCTATTTGGGATGTACATGGGATACCTGCAGGTGAAATTAAAGATGATGTGGGCTCTGAATGCTCTTACATTGCTGTGGGGATGCTCTGCACCAGTAGAAATCAGCCTGGATTTTGCAGTCAATTGCTGAATATTTAAATTTACACCAAATGCACCAAATTGTGAAGCAGGGAGATGAACCTCAGAGCCTGTTTCTTAATTCTAATGTTACCCATCATATCTACCTGTAATGGTGAGAGATGCACATGCAGACAGAAGTGAACATCAATATTTCTTTATTTAGGATCACTTACTAGTGAACTACCAAAAGATCAAAACAATCAATCTTCATTTGGCCACTTCTAGGAATACACTACATATTGTGATACAGCTTAGCTAGCATTTTAGTTTGTGGAAACATGGTGAATCAGTGGTTACACACTTTAGGGTACATGGTTTAGCAATTAATACTCCTTGGGCACGTCTACACATGCAATTAATGCAGCTCAATAAACTTTGGCACAGATCATGCTGCAATTTATCCCTCCCAGGTGTCATGCTTACATTTGCTCCTGGGAACACAGCATGTTTAGTTGGGGTGGAGCAACGCCATGGCTGGCATGGGGCCTAGGGGATTAGCCTGCCAGCCCGGGGCTACTCTGACTCAGCTCAACATGCTGCAGAGGGGCTGGCTGAGGCATGAGAGTACTCCAGTGTGGGGCTAGCCAGCAGGTAGCCCCACAATGAAACACCTTCATGCCCTAGGCAGCCCAGTCAGCGTTTACATGTGCACTGAGGCAAAGTAAGTAACTCAGCCATAGGATGGTACTTGTGTCTGGCAGTGCTATCCTACAGCAGAGTTAATTAGTCAACTCTGCAGTAAATGTCTTATGTAGATGGGCCCTTTGAAACTTACAGAGGCTTTTACAGATAGATTTGACTATGGTAAGAATTTAAGATCTGACTTATTTTTAAGAATGTCTTGCTAAACTATGCTAAGTCAGAATGGACCTAATGTTGCCTGTTAAGGGAAATGATGATGTGCACCTGTACTGTCCTATGAGGAGGCAAAACATGTCACTGAGATCTCAGTTACCCAGGAACATATACCCACCACTGGAGTACTTCAAGGAGTGCAGGCTACTCCTGCCTTGAATCCCAATCCAGCTCCATAGGTTGCTTTATGTGACCTGACATTGCCAAAGCTGTGGCATAGACTCCTTTCCTTCTTTACCCTCCTGCAACTCTACCACAATTCCCCAAGAAACCAGGGTCTGAAAAGTTCATGCAGTCTCCTGAGTATACAGCCTGCAATTCCATCTGCCAGATTCCTATCAATTCAAACTATGT